CTATGCAGGGGGTCGGACTCGATGATCTATTGAGGTCCCTTCCGATCCTAACATCTATGAATCAAGAAACGTTTGGATGTTTATCTTGCTGGGATCTTTTGACCCCAGCTGACTTCCTGCCCCTGGGGCGGGGAGCTGGGCTGGACTCGGTGATCCTCGGAGTCCCTTCCAGCCCGAATGTATATGAATCTATGAAATCAGGAAGAATTTTCTCATTAGGAGGGTAGTAAAACACTGGAACAGGTCACCCAGAGAGGTGGTGGAGTTGCCATCCTTGGAGGTTTTGAAGACCCAGCTAAACAAAGCCTTGTCTGGGATGATGCAGTTGGGGCTGGTCCTGCTTGGAGCAGGGGGTTGGACTGGAAGTGACCTTCTGAGGTCCCTCTGCTGTGCCCACCAACGCCCCTGGCAGCAACAGGGCATTGGTGGCTACAGCCCCCTGCTTTCCCAGGGGCAGGGTTGGGGGCGATGCCTAGGGCTGTGTCAAGGACGATAGTGTTGTGTGGCGCCGAGGTTGCACATGGGGTTTGTCTGGGCAGGCTTGTCTGGGGCTGATCCTGCCTTGGGCTGGATGTGACCCCGCTGCTTCCTGCCAGCCCTGTGGCTGTGGGGGTCGGGCTGGAGGGTTCCCAGGGGGGAGGATGCCCTCCATGCTCAGAGCTGCTTGTGCCCCAGGGTCTGAACCTTCTGCCTGGCAATGTGGTGAGCGGGAGTGAGAGACCCAGCAGCACCGTGAGGGGAAGCGCGCACAGACCAAGCAGGCTGGGGGTGACTCAGGGCTGACTCAGCCTCCCAGGAGAGCCCTGGCCTGCCTCCACCCTGTTAACACCACTGTCCACCAGATAGTGCTTAGGGATCGTTAAAGCACAATTAACCCTTAAACAGAACGTGAAATACGAACACAGACAACTCAGTGTCCTAAAGTCAGTCGAACTTTATTAGCACAACAAGTATTATCTTAGCAGTTTCTGTATTCAGAGAGAGAAAAAGCACTCGGTACAATTGTCTCACCCAGTCCCAGATGTTACTTTGCTCGACAGAAAAGACGGCCACTGAGTTCCTGAAGCAAAGGGTGCGTCGGTGGCTGGGGCGGTCCAGGCAGGTGTTGAAGGCTGGATTTATGATGACAGTGATGACGACAACGCACTTCACTTTCTTGCTGCCCCCTTTTATGCTTTGCTTTAACTTCACTCCTTTGACAACTGTTTGCTTTTGGATTAGTCTCTGCAGTCAGCATATTGTCCATATTTTATTCCGTCAGCATATTCCTTTGTTCAACAGACCCATCATGAGCACACCTCTTAATCTGGCCTTTTTCTGGTGGCCTACTTCGGACATTGTCCGTTGGTCTCCCTTCTTGCCTTTCACTAACATCCAATCATTTCATCCCTCTGATTCAGCTGGTTAGTGCCAAGTTCAGTTCTTTTGAGCTAGTAACAAAACTATTACTATGTTGTGTTAGAAAAACTTCTCACAGTGATAGAAAAGGAAAGAAACACCGTGCGAGCCAACTCAAAGCCGTGAGCTGCTTGCAAGAGGCAAGGCCAGCTGATCTTGCCGACACCAGCAAAATGACAAGTGCAGATAACAATGAGGCTGTTCAGAACCTTAGGTTTGAATATAAAAGAAAACTTTAAACAATGCTGTGATTCACCACTCTATTGACAGATGCAATTTTAAAGCATGAAATGAGACAAGCTACCCTAACAATCCCCCTCTTCGCTCCGCCCTGGGTTGTGACTCTTCAGTGGCCACAACTGGGCATTGGTGACAGGACCCAGCCTTGGGGCCATGGGCTGGGCGGGTCCCCAGGGAGTTACCCAGAGCCTGGAGGCACCATGGCCCTCTCTGTGTCTGGGCTTTGGCCTGGGCAGGGTTGTGCCAGCACCAGCCCGGTGGGACATGAGCACCAGGAATTGGGTCCTTGTCCTTGAAGTGGCCAAGAAGCCATGGGCAGGCATCCTTTATAAGGCCCTGAGACCCCTAGCAGTCAGGTCCCAGCTCCCCTCTTACACCCCAGCAGTCTCATCCCCTGTCCCCTCTTTCCCCCCCAACCAGGTATGGAAGAAAGTGGATCCGCGTGGAGCGCAACCGCGAGAAGCAGATGATTGACCTGCACACGGGGACGCCCTGGGAGTCGGTCACCTTCACTGCGCTGGGCACCAACCGTGACATCTTCTTCAGCATCCTTCAGGAAGGCAAGGGGCCCTACCTGCCCCTGCCTGCTCCTTTCCTGCTGCCCCCTGTCACCACCAACCCTCTCTCGCTCCCTCCCCACAGCCCGGGAGCTGGCTCTGCGGCAGCAAGAGGGGAAGACGGTGATGTACACGGCAATGGGCGCCGAGTGGCGGCCGTTCGGGTTCCCGCGCCGGCGCCGCCCGCTCGCCTCGGTGGTGCTAGATGAGGGCATTGCGGAGCGGATCGTGCAGGATGTGCAGGAGTTCATCGCCAGCCCCCAGTGGTACAGTGACCGAGGCAAGGCACCGCCCACCCCTGCCTCACCTCTCAGGGCTCCAAGAGCTCCCAACACCCCTGGGCTGGTCATGGCTTGGCTCTGCTCTTTTCTGGCCCCAGGTCTCCCAGGATGGGATGCTCTGGGGTGCTGTGCATTTGCCCTCCTGACTCCTGCCATGGATGTCCCCTATCCCGGTTCCCTAGGCCCCTTCCCCAGAGAGCACTGCCCCTAACAGCTCCTGCCGTAGTGCTAGAGTCGCATAGGCGGCCCCCTCCCTGGAGCACGAGGCTGTGGGGAGTGGTGCCATCCTTGTCCATTGGTTGCAACTGCGGCAGGGTCAGGGCTGCTCGGGGCCTGGCTCCAGCTCCTAAATCCCTTCCACACCCCACCAGGGATCCCCTACAGACGTGGCTACCTGCTCTACGGGCCTCCAGGCTGCGGGAAGAGCAGCTTCATGTAAGTCACTTGCTCCCTCTGGCTTCCAAGTGTGGGGGGATGCTGCTGAGAGGTCCCCTCACGCCTGTAGAGGAAGGGGGTTTGAGGGGCTTCACAGCAGCTTGGTGAGGGGGGGTTGGAAAGGCCAGAGGCTGGCCCTCTGCCTGCTGCTGGGCATATGAGGTGCCTGCGGGGGGTGGGGATCCCTGGCACGTGTCTCACCCTGCTGCACGTCCCCTGCACAGCACAGCCCTGGCCGGGGAGCTGCAATACAGCATCTGCCTGCTGAGCCTGAGCGACCGGAGTCTGTCCGACGACCGCCTCAACCACCTGCTTAGCGCAGCCCCACAGCAGAGCATCGTGCTGCTGGAGGACGTGGATGCTGCCTTCGTCAGCCGGGACCTGGCTGCTGAGAGTGAGGGGCTGCTGCAGGCGCTGGGCATTGCTCTGGGCAGAGGGCAGGTGCATGTGTCCAGGCTGCTGGGCCCAAAACCCTGGGTGATCCCGGCGCCTGTGTGGTCTGAGGCTGCCTCTAGGTCCCTGGTCCGGCCTGTTGTGACCTGAGGCCACCAGGCACATCTGGATGCCAGCCTGGCTTCCTGCCCTGCCTCCTCCATGGAAAGCACCTGGGCCCCCTGTGTGGCCTGCATAGAAGGAGACCCAGTGCCAGACATACAGGAGGGAAGACACTCGCCCTCCTTACTCCAGGCAGGGGCATGGGTGGCTGCAGCTGAGGGCAGGGTGGGGAAATAGGGGTACTGCAGGGGGGTCTGGCCCCAGCCTGAGTTGTCCTCTCCCCCAGACCCGACGGCGTACCAGGGCATGGGCCGCCTCACCTTCAGCGGCCTCCTCAACGCGCTGGACGGCGTGGCCTCCACCGAGGCCAGGGTCGTCTTCATGACCACGAACCATGTCGACAGGTCAGAGCCGAGGAGAGGGAGGGGGACGGGGGTCCGTGGTCGTAGGGGAAGGAAGGCCAAGCGCCTAGAAAGCTCTTGGGTGAGGCAGCACCTGCTGGGTCCCCTGCTCCTCCCCACGGCGGGTTCCAGGCTGTTGCCTGGTCCAGTGCCCGCTGCTACGAGCCCTGGGGTGGCACTGTCCTTCCCATGTCCATGCTGCATCACACGGGTAGCTGTGTCTGCACCAGTGCCATGGCTGCCTGGACAAATGTCTCCATGGGCATCCCACCCCAGCAGGAGCAGCTCGTCCCCTGGGCTGCAAAGCGGGTGGGGTGAAGCCATCACCTCTTCCCTCCAGGGTCTCACCAGCTCTGCAGAACCTCCTCTCCCCCTCAAGCCAGGACCCCTGGGAGCAAGAGTTCCCCCTTTCTTCCCTGCCATGTGCTGTGGGGGAGGGGGCTGACCAGGGAGGGGCACAGCTGGGCTCTGTGGGCACCTGCTTTGCCTTGGGGAAGGGACTACAGAGTCCTTGCCTATGGCTGGGGGAGGAGGCTGCGCCCGTGCCACCCTCGTGCCAGCCCCCCCTCCCCCATGCCCATCTTCTTCCGCAGGCTGGACCCGGCGCTGGTGCGGCCGGGGCGCGTGGACCTGAAGCAGTACGTGGGACCCTGCTCGCGCTGGCAGCTCACCCACATGTTCCAGCGCTTCTACCCCGAGCAGTCGTGGGCAGCAGCCGAGCGCTTCGCCGACCAGGCCCTGGCCGTCTCAGACCAGCTCAGTGCTGCACAGGTGCAGGGGCACTTCATGCTGCACAAGGCGGATCCTCCCGGGGCCATCACGGATGTCGGGGCCTTGGCACCGTGAGCTGCAGCCAGCCCTGGGGAACTGGCGTGACCGTGGGCACGGGCCCAGGCCCAGATCTCTTCTCTTCCTACCTCCACATGGCCTCAAGCTCCTGCTAGCCAGGACATGCCAAAGCCAGGGGCCACCCCAACCTGCCAGGGTTGCAAGCTGCGCCCCCCGAAAAGCCAGCTGCTAGCCTGCAGGACCTACCTCTGCCCAGAGCCAGCTGCCAAGCCCTGGCTGGATGACCTGAAGGGAGCTTGAGCCTGTGAGTTCAGCACAAGTCCTTGCCTCCGGCATGGAAGAGCCTGGCACAGAGGGAGCTGCAGACACATCCCAGCCCATGGGCCGGGGGGGCAGTGCTGCCTGCGGGGGGTGTGGAAGGGACCAGGCGCATCTTGCGCAGCCTGGGGGTCCCGGCAGGGCTCGGTGGGGAGCTGCTGAGGAGCTTGAGGGTGAATCTGAGCCCCACGCCTGCCAGTTTAAACCGTTTTCCAGTGTCCATGTGCTTGTGTGGATGCTTGGGCAGGGGGTCTGGACTGGGGGCACCCTCTGTTGACCTGGCTCTGCCTCTGGGGCCAAGGCTGGTGGGATTGTGTCCCGTGGTCTTCTGGGCAGCTCTGAACCGGGATCCCGTGGTTCTGGCCCAAGCGGCTGTGCCCTGGGCAAGTGCTGGAGTGGGACCCGGGGTGGGGTGTCAGGGCCTTGATGCCCCCCATAGAGCCCTCCATGCAGTTGGGCCTCAGCCTCATTAAGCACCCAGCCGGCCTGCATTATCTGCCCACTTGGGGGGCTCTGGTCCTTGTCCTGGCCTCTGCCCTGGGGCTCTGGGATGCAGCTGGGACAGGCCCTGGCTGGGCTCCCTTGGGGTACAAAGTCTGTCTTCCCGGAGCCAGCCTGAACACAGACCTGCCGCGTGGGTTCTTCCCTGATCTGGGCGGCGTCAAGAAGTCACCTTGACCCGGGGGGACCCACTTCTGCCTCCGCTGCTGATCTCCCCCCATGCTCTGTGGGGTCTCTGATACTCCCCACTTGTGGAGGGGCCCCCTCCCTCTCCCGCCCCCTGCACCGCCCTGCATTACCAGCGAGAGCCTAGCACCCTCCCACACTGGCTCCCCTCCAGCCCAGGCACATGGCCAGGACCAGGCCAGCCAAGGGCAGTTGGCAGTATCTGGGAGGAGCCTGTCTTGTGTCCAGGCTTGTGGGTAGCAGGCTCCAGGCAGCAGCCATGAGGTCCCTGCAACAGCAGCTCTGTGCCTTCGTGTGGGCCAGAGCCCAGGGACCTGGCGCGGTCCGGGCCAAGGCCACAGTGGGTGCCACAGTGCCTGGGAGGCTGAAGTCCCTGGAGGAGCTGCCTGGACCCAGTGTCCTGAGGTGCCTGTACTGGTACCTGCTGCGGGGGTACCTGCTGCACATGCATGATTTGCAGGTGAGCAGGGGCTGTCCTGGGCTCTGGGGGCAGAGGGGCTGGGGGCTGCCCCGCAGCCCTCGCTCCCCCAAGACTGCTCGCTTGCTGGGGAAAAGCAGCCAGCTTTGGAGTGGGACGAAGCATGAGGCTGACAGCTGGAGGGGTCGCAGCACTTAGCTTCTGGCCCCAGCTGGCCCGAGAGGAGGACGTGGGAACCACGGACACAGCCAGCCTCACCGCCGTGCCCTGGCAGCTGCTGGCGCGTCCCTGGAGAGAGACCTGGAGGAGGAAAGTCCCCGAGCAGCCACAAACCACGTGGCACCAGCTCCTTCTCTATCTCTGATGCCGGTTGGGAGCCGAGTCCCACCAGCGCCTGTTTGGAGAAAGTTCGCAGCAGTGTCCCAAAAAGGCTGGGGAATGCGCTGGAGGACAGAGCAGGATGCAGGAGTCAGAGGGCTGGGAAGCTGGGCTGGGGCTGACAGGATGCAAGCGAGGAAGCATCGTTGAGCATCCAAACAGAGCAGTGCCCCCAGGGGTGGTGGCACCACGGAGGAGGACCTTGGAGGCCTGCCTGGGGCATCACGGGCTCGCCGGGGGCCGGCAGGGAGGTTGCCGTGCACAAGGCCCGTGTGCTTGTGGGGCCCCGTGATAGAAGCAACAGGTGCGGGACACGGGGGTGATGGCAGAGGGACCCAGGCATGTTCTGCTGGGCGGAAAGGGCTGCGGGGGGATGTGGGGGGCAGCCAGCAGGGACGTGGGGGCTGCGCAGAGAGCGAGAGCAGTTTCTCTCCTGCTGCCCAGGGCAGGGGGTGCCCACAAAGGTGCCCGGAGGGGGCAGGGCTGGAGGCTGCAGCCAGGCAGGTTAAGGTTGGATTTGGGAAGACCCCTCTGCACGGCCCGAGCAGAGCGGCGGCAAGGCGACGCCGGGGCCAGGCAACGCTGCAGCACGGGAGGGTGCAAGGAGAGGCTGGGCGGGAGGGTCGAGGCGCAGCAATCCCTGTGCTCTCCTGGGGGTGTCCTGGGCTGGGCTGTGCTGGCTGGCCACCCCCCATCTCCCCGCAGAGACGCTGGGGCTGGGCTCCCGCCCCGGAGGCTCCCAGTCTGATCTCCAGCTGAGGCACCCAATGCCCGGATCGCAGGGCATGGTGGCCAGGCAGCATCTCACAGTGCCCACCTACCCCAGGGGATCTTCAAGCAGCGCTACGGCAGCCTGTGGAAGCAGCACATGGGCCCCTACATGACCGTGAACGTGGCCTGCCCCGAGCTGCTGGAGCACGTCTTGCGGCAGGAGGGGCGCTTCCCCACCCGCTGCGACATGGCGCTGTGGAAGGAGCACCGGGACCTGCGGGGCCAGGCCTACGGCCCGCTCACCGAGTGAGTGCCATGGCTCCCCTCCACCCCCCAGCCCCCGCAGGCTGCCCAGGTGGGGAGGGAGCCTCTCTGCTGGCTCCCAGCCCCCCAGCTGTGGGTGGGCACGGGGTGCCCAGGCCTTGTCTACACTATGGCCCTGGGCGCGGTGATAAACCCCACTGCTGCAGACGCAGTGCACATCACCTGCAGCGGAGCCCCGTCTACACTAGGGCTCATCTCAGTCCAGGCGCGGGGGGCTGCCGTGGGTGCAGCTCAGTCTGATGCTCGTGCCCCGTGCAGGGATGGGGAGCGCTGGCACCGGCTGCGCCAGGGGCTGGACCGGCGGGATCGGGAGTCGTCGG